TTCACCCAGTCTTTGATTGCACCAAGTAAAGCGAGCACCAGAGTAGTTCAAATCCATTAGAGCACAATCTGACATCATACTCTGGAAATTTATTATTCTTCTCATATCAACCGGTCTGCTCCCCATCTTCTCATATACTGAGGCCATATCATTAAAGTCTCCCATACATAACCACGTACCCCGGATTCCACTCGCTATACTCCTCATCTTCCTCCAAACCTCTAATTTTTCTTCAACTCTAGGCGCACCATAAACAAAAGTAACATAATTTGGCACCTTATGCACAGTAGAATGCATACTCGTGTGGATAATATTTTTTGAACAATGCCAAATATTTATTGTTATATCCTTCTTCCACCAAAGAGCTAGTCCACCACTCCTTCCTATCGGTTCAACATACACATCTTCGTCCATCCTACATCTTTTCTTAATCCTTTTCATACCTGCTTCCATCATTCTGGTTGCCATTAGGAAGATGACTGAGGGATTTTTCTTCAAATTTTCTTCCCTAAGTTTTTTCACTGTCAAGGCCCTTCCCAAACCTTGACAGTTCCACACTAAGAAAATCATGGCCCCGTGGTGGCTGTTTGAGGCCAGCCACCATCACCTTCAGCTTTACTTTCAGAAGTATCCCTCACATCTGCCCCAACTAAACCAGTTCCCACAAAGTTCATATCAGCCAATTCCACTCCTTTATTACTTCTGCCCTTATGCTTCATCCCCCCTTCCTTTCTTAATCTTCTTTTCAGAACCCTCACACTCCTCCTTTCTCCAGGCATATTTTTCCTTTCACTGTCCTGATCTTTCTTTTCATCATACTCAGCAAAGATCAGTTTCCTCCTTTTAGAACTCGCATATTCCATCTCCTCCCTCCTATTTCTCTTCAGATTAATCCTTTCGACCCTGAGAGCCACTTCTGAAATAGGAGATGCATTGTTATAGACAACAATTGCCTTGGAAAGATCATCTTTCCTTTTAGGGGACTCCGTATCTTCCTTCTGCACTTCCTTCCCTTTCTCACATTCCAGAGTTACATTGTTATTCAACTTTTTGGCCTTGTCATGTTCTGAATCATCATTTGGCTTTTCCTTCTTATCCCCAGCTTCCCCATTATCAATATCTTCCTAATCAATTATGCTTCTAGATCCCTTTTTTATTGTTTTCACCGAGATCAATTTTTTTAAAGACGTTGCCTCATTACTCCTCATTTCAGTCCGCTCCTCTACATCCACCACCTCTTATTAAAGTTTATAAATAAGATCGCAGGGAGCATATAGAATAATAAAACAAAACTTTGTAGTAATAACATATATATACACATACTCTTCTGGTCTTATTTATAGGACAGATAGATAAGAAAGTTTTTTGTTCTATTTATAAAGGAGAGAAAAAAAATTTTCATATAAATGTGTAACTTTACCCTACATTTATTATTCTGTTGACTTTAGTTTCGTTAGGGATAATTTATAGTAAATAGGGATCAAAATGAAAAGTTGTTAAATGTTAAATGAGAGTTAATAAAATTTAAATTTTTTTTAATCTGTACTTATAAATTGAACAAGATGAATATACACATTTGACAATTGACATATGTCTACAATGTTTCCCACAACATCAACTTTTTCCAATAATTAACACAATGAGAAGAACAAGATGACGTATGGCGGAGAGCTATATTTTATGAACCATATGTGTGGAGTTACGTATAATTTGATCCTCTCTTCCTCCCTTTTTCTTATCCTATGATTATCTCTAAATTAACATATCAATGGTTGAGATTCAATAGTATTTTATAAAATCATTACGAGTAAAATGGCGCTTGACCATGTAGAACACGGTGAATAGCTTATCATGCGCGACTAAATCGTCATTATTATTATTTTACACAATTAAACACACATCCATATAAATATGTTAACGTGAGTCAGAAACCTCACTTAAATACGATGAATGGCACTGTCATTAGGAGCTGGAATCTTCTGCTTTATGATCTGACCTGATCCTAATTTTTATTGCATGGTTTTGACTTCAGCGTGTTGTTTTCTTAAGGGGGGCAAAAAAAAAAAAGATTTTTGAGTGTTATATATGTTGGTAGGCATGGTTTCTCTTGAATTCTCTTCAAGTAACTTACTCCAAAACAAATACTTTTCGGATGTTAAACATATGATTTAGTAGTTGAGTAATTATTTTTGTTGCAAATGTACATTGTATTTTAAATTCATAATTTTTTAAATTATTCCTATTATTGCATATATTAAAAAAAGGGAATATTTTTATTAATGGGATGGTTTTAAATACAGACGATTAAAAGAATATTGTAGAAAACTAACATTTCTTTATAATTAATTAATTAAACTAATTTTATTAATTTTTATAAATTAGTTATCTAATTTTTATATTTAGAGATTATTTTGTCATAAACAATGAATGGGCCTTTGAAGCACCTTCGACTTCTTAATTCTTTTTTTTAATCACACTCACTATAAAGATGGGCCTAATCCTCCGTCTTTATAAATTACTTTGTCTATGCGTTTTGTTAGAGGAAAAATTGGAGAAATTTTCATATTGAAAATTTTATTGATGGTTAATCTCCACCTTCCTGTCTTGATCTAATCTTTGCACTGTTTTGAGTGATAAGTTTTCAGTTTTTATTCAGAAAAAAATTTATTGATAATAAACTTGATAAATTTTTATGCACAAAAAAATACTTCGTCCATATCTATATGAAAATATTATTGATACTTCTTTAGTCCTCAACATACAAGACCTACGTAATTTATTTAAAGAGATTAGAAAAATTAAATAAATTATTTAATTTAAACAAAATTGACGTGATCTCCCTAAAATACCCCATACAATAATTATATATTAGTTTATAAGTGAAACAACTTAGTTTGGGAAAACTAATTAATATGAAAGATAAAATGGAAGATCAAAACCAATGTAACTAAAAAAGTAACTTACAAAAAGATGTTTCAAGTGCATTATGGGGAGCAGATCCTCTCATCATCGGTTTTCTCCTCATCCCTCATCATCTCTAAATCTCACCCATCCAATAAATCTGACAGCTGAAAAAGAGACACATCATGAGACCTTTAAAATCACATCTAAACCGTCCGTTTTCTTATTATGCAAAACACATAATAAAAACTTCTGATAAAATTTGAAACTATATAAATTTAAAAATATCTTAACAAATTAAACATACAAAGCTACGGTAAAAAAAACACTTATGCAAAAAAAATTTATAATAGGTGCAACAAAAAGAAAAAAATTTCTAAGTGGAGATAAGTTTGGGGTTAAAAAAAATACTTTTTCAATCTTTAATATGAGACATATTTAACTAATTTGATTAGATTAAGAAAGTTACGTAAATTAGTTAATTATAAAAAATATGATATATTTTTCTTAAAATACCAAATCATCTACCTTATATATCTTCTCTCCTTCTTTACTTAATTATGGTTGAAGGAGTATTTATAGATGTAATTTAGAAAACATTAATAAATATGAGAAATATGTCTTATATTTAGGATCAAAATCAACTCAACAATTAGATGTTATATTAAGGACCAGATGAGTACTATCTATTGTTCGAGAGAGAGAGAGAGAGAGAGTTATTTTTGTCTTACTCCTCTTGGAATGAAAACGAAGCCACCGAAATGGATATCTATTTCATATAATTAAGTCAGCAAAATGAGAATGAATGTTGAAGACTTGAAGCTTTCCGCCAAAGTCGATGATGGAACAATGAGAATGTTTCCTGCCAAGCTGAAATCAAGAAGGAGTAGAGGTGAAAATTTGCAGTTAGGATCACAACATTTGGATGGTGAAGATTCATTTTTCATAGTGTGGTGTTGTGGTGCACTGTGAGCTCTTCGATCACTTGAATGGACAAGATTTAGAGATGATGAGGGATGAGGAGAAAACCGATGATAAGAGGATCTGCTCCCTACATTATCATAGTTTATGGAAATGTGTCGCTTTGTAAGGCCTTGATCTTTAAGTTTATGAGAAAGAAAAAATAGGTTTACAGTCCTTATTTAGAGCCCAACATTAACCAAATATGACCTAATATTATTATTGGATATTAAATATTGTATAGAAAAAAGTATTATCACAATATTGCTAATCTTGTAAAAATTATACTGATAAAAATTAATTGGTTTAATTTTACTTGCGATAAACAGAATTTGAAAAAAATCATAAGAGCATTTTTCAGAACTCTAATAACCCAAATGCTTCCAAAACGCAACGTATCTAAATTTTTGCTTAAAAAGGAGAAATGAGAAAGAATTAAACCAATTCATTAAGTAAATTTCTATGTCTACCAGAAAAGATTTGCTAATAATTAAGTAATAAGAGAAGTATATATCAGTCTAAAATTTTGGTAATTGCATATCATATGAAGAAATAAATAGTGATTAATTAAAGATGATCGTCACGTATCACCAACCAGAAATAAATGATAATAAGAAGCACCGTCATTAACATTGCATCTTAATTAACTAATTAATTTCTTTCACATATATTATGATTACAACACTTAATTGAGGAACACTTTGATGAACACTAATAGAATTAGTTAAAGTCGATATATCAAAGGGAAGATAATACTACTTTAATATTATATTATCCAATTTCTCACACTCACACAAAAGTTAGCTTCTCGATGCCTATTATAGAGGCCCCTTGCCTTACTCTTTTGTTTTCGCAAATACGACAAAAAAGCAATTTATCCAAAGATAAAATTGTTAATTTAGTCACTCTTTTAATTAACCATCTTACCATGGCCGTTGGATTCTTTTTTTAAAAAAAAATAATAATAATTTACTTGTGATTATTATCTTGAACTTGAAGAAGCCCATGTATATGACGAATTATATTCCTCCTCACATACACACATGTATATATATATATGGGACTCAAGCTTCATTCGTTTCATCGTATAACTCCTCTCATCCCAAATTGAGTTTGAGGTTTTGGTCGTGTGCTTCGAGATGGCCAGCTCCAAAGTCATAGGGTTTGTGCTCATTGGCCTGCTGTTTTTGGACTTGGCTTTTGCTGTTAGGTCATCGCCAAAATTACGGTCATCCGACGGCGAAGAGTCATCCAACGATGGCGATATGTCCACCGACGGCGACAAGCCATCCAGTGGTGAGTCCTGTGAGGATCGGTTGAACTGTGAATGTGGTGGAAATGATAAAGATGATTGTGGAAATAGCGAAGGAAGCATGGAAGGAGGAGGAGGAGGAGGAGGCGGAGGCGGAGGAGGAGGAAACGGGATGAAGGGTAATAGTGGAGCCGGCTATGGTGGTGGCAGCGGATCCGGGGTTGGGCGAGAAGGAGGAGGGGGAGGTGGCGGAGGTGGAGGCGGTGGAGGGGGTAGCATGAGCGGATCCAAAGGCTCCGGCAGTGGGTTTGGAGATGGTAACGATACCTGTGGTGACTCCTCCGCCTGTGGTGCTGTCGGAAAAGGTAACGACGACGACCCACCATCACGCGACTAATTAAGAAAGGAGGGTTTCAACTTTGGTCCAATATGTATACATGGATCAAGTGGGATTACATAAATAAATCCACGATGATGGATATGTAATATACGTATTATATGCTATAAATAATTATATATATATATATATGAACAATAAATTGCAGAGAGTTTAGCTCCTGCTTCATGCACGTCTGCATGTGCATGCCGGTACTTGGTGATGTGGATTTGTAATATTGTAATTCATATATAATATATCAATAAAATTATTATTAGAAGTAATGTTTGTGGCTGAGATTGCGACGATATATTATATACTACTATATCGTTGATTATGTTAACTTGTTTTTAATTTGTGTTAAATGGTAATAATATCATAAACCATATGATATGTATATAGCCATGCATGAAATAGATATAATATAATGAATAATATATATATATATATATGCATTCTATCTTTTAAGCTGTCACCAATAATATACTACCTCTGGTCCTTAATATAAGACCTTGTTTGACTTTTATTTTAATCCTAAATATAAGACCCTAATTCACTTTGTCTCTCATATTTATATATATTTTTTCCAAAGTAGCTCTTCAAACAATGATAGTTCTAGTCAATACACTTGATTAGTAAGGATATTTTAAGAAAGACAACACTTATTTAAGACAAATAACTAACTCAATTTACTTCCTTAATCTCCTCAAATTAGTCAACTAGCTCTTATAATTAAGATCAGAGGTAGTATTAAATAACTAATTAATGCGGATTTTTATTTTTTTTAATTTTTGGTTCTTGATAAATTACTCTGCTCATATATGTCTTTTTGTGTGGAAAAATTGATGGAGTTCTTTCTATATATTTATCTTTGTCAGCAGATAATCTTGATTACTGCTGCAGTTGGGACTTTAAGTTGTTTGGTTCAATTAGAGACCCATTTGAAAATATACAGAAAACAAAAAAAAAAAGGAAAAGGAACTCATATATCATTGACAATTAAAAATAGGATTAAGCTGCAAAATTGTCTTATAAGTTTAAAATTATAATAATATTGTCCCTTACCCTTAAAATACGTACTAACTTTAACCATGAAAACATTGACATTGACCATTATTATACTCCTCAAGTCTTAAAATGCATGAGCTATTAATTAGGAAATTAGTTTTAGTCATAAATGTAATATCTTAGTTCATTTTATTTCTTATATTTATTATTTTTAGCAAATTAATTTATCCAGTTTATAAATTGGTATATGATCTAATGTCATATGAGAGTATTTCAGGATCATTATGCCACATTTGTTAGAATTAATTAAATAATTTATTTAGCTTTCTTATTCTATCAAAATTAATTAAAGTAATTTTTTCATTAAATGACGAAGGAATATTATAGCCTTATCATTATATGCTGCCTCCGGTCCTAAATACTTCTCTAGCTAGTTATTAATGTAAGACTTAATTAACTAATTTTAATATATTAAGGATGTTGGTTAAATTAATTAATATGATTTTTTTTTAAAAAAAATACCCTAATCACTTTTCATAATTCCCTCCCTTCCTCCCTCACCTACTTGATAAACATGTGGTATAGGTCTTACATATGTAATCGATATCAACTCTCAAATTAGGTTCTATGTTAAGAACTAGAAAGATATAAGAGTAAGTCAGAGATTTAATTTGGTCCTAAATATAAGACCTCAATTCATATTGTCTTTGATATTTATTTATTTTCTTCAAAATAGTTCCTATATATATAGTAATGGTTGCATATATTAAAAGGTTTTAATAGGGATATTTTAGATAATATAACACTTATTTATAACAAATAGTTAACTTCACTATTTTTTTTAATATTCACAAATTAATTATTTAACTTTTATATTAAGGACTTGAGACGTATAACTTTGGACAGAACTCGCAACATGTCACTTATAACACAATAGATGTATTACATGCACTTTTAAAGAGTACATACAAATAGATCTAATTAAAAAAAAAAAAGGGATACAACTGCTAAAGGCAGAAAAATCTCAAGGACGGTTCTATTCTAAGAGAAGAGAACTAAAACCAACTTCTAATATGGATTATTAACTTAATTATAGACTCTATTCATATCTCAGGCCAGTATTAGAGCCCCATTTCCTTAATTACACTAAACCATCTTTCTTACCGTCTTTACCATCATTCCCATACCTAGTGCCTGAACCTCTGGTTAAAGTCAGAACCTCCGCACAACAGATCAGAATTGCATAATCGATTTACTACAAACACTTTTATAAAGTACGTAATCATGCACATAAACTTGCATTGAGCAGGAGCTATATATATATATATATATATATATAAACTTCCTGCAACTTATTTAGTTTATGTCACACATTTATAATAACATATAATTAACATGGATTATTAACTTATTTGCCGAGATCCGACCCGATTCATTTAAGGTTGGAGCGCCACACTTCCTTAATTACTCCAAACCACCTTTGTTAGCTTCTTGACGATGAATAGTACTGCCACCTTTTCCACCACCCGCATCGCCACCCCCTACACGCCCAGTCCAACCTCTGGTTGCAACCTTAAAGTGATTGGAATCTCCACCGCCTCTGCCGCTGCCTCCACTGTATGATTGGCCGCCATACCGATATCTGACACACCGTCGGGCGCCGTACTCAAATCTCCGATCATCAACTCCTCCTTGATATCCGGACCCACCAGCGCCAGCCGATGCCGACCCATCGCCACCGAAGGACTTCGACGACGACCAACTGTAGCCGGTGCCGAATGACGATGACCCATTGGCATTCCATGATCGTAATCGTCGGTGGGATGACGTCGCTGCAAATGCCAAGTCCGTGATCAGCACAGCCATGAACAAAAACCCTATGAGCTTCGAGCTGGCCATCTCAAAAATCCAAAAGCTCAAACAAATTAACAAACAACTTAAACGCGTGAGAGATGAGATGACCCATGTTCATATATAGGAGACTCTAGATCAGGTTTTTTCCTCTTTACGGTAAAAACTTTTGCAGTTTTAAGAATTGGCCATTAGCCTCTTCAACACAACCATACCAACAAAATTTTCTTTTGGAAGGAAAGATATTAATTAAGAGACATGATGACTCAATTAACAATTTCGTCTATAAATCATTTCTTTGTCATACTTGTTTGTGACAACACATGACTAAGGCAAGAGCCTTTAATGACGAGTCAATTGAAAAGATAAAATAAGGTAGTACGTACCACTTTGTTACCATATATATATATATATATATATATATATATAAGTCACTTTCATATGGTAATTAATAACCTTTTTTTTTTAAAATTTTACCCCCTTTGAATGTAATTAAAAAAATAAGTGAGAGAAAATGCATGACATTTTTTTTTTCCGACACCCTTTCTTTAATAGGGGTAAGTGTGATTTTTTTTTTTTCAATTTGATTCTTCTTTGATATGCGAGAATAAGATACAAGTGACCTAAATATAAAAATAGTACTTATATATATATATATATATATATGTATATTACCTACTGCCTTACGCGCTACTCTGTTCATTAATTATCTTAATATGAAAGAAATTAAGGGTAGACGTTAATGATGGTACTTTTGATGTGGTTGGTCATGCGTGTTCGTTATCTTCTTCATCTCTATATATATATTTCTATTTATAAAACTAAACGAATACTTCTATGATTAGTTATTATTTGCTGGCAGACGTAGAAATTTAATTAATGCATGATGAGTATCATAATTCTAAACCTATAGTTATGTGGATATAAAAGCTTAACATTAATTTGACATGGATCAAACATTGCAAATTTAGAATTAGGGTGGATATCTAGTTGTCTTTAACTTGTTTAATTTAATTTTATACCAGAAATGTTTATTTTTAATAACATAAAGAAGCACTTTAGTATTTGTTGTCCTTAATAAATTATTTTAAAAATATATTAAGCCAAAAATCACAAAAAGGACACGGCACCTATAAATTTGACCTTGCAGCTAATATATTTTTGTGTGAGTGCGCATTAGACTATATAGATAGAGTGAAATGATGTTTAATATATTTATGTTTAATATATAAACCAATTATTAATGCCTGGTTAAATTAAAAAAACCAATTATTAATAGTATTATCTGTGGTAACCAATCATTAATAGTATCATCTGTGGTCTTTAATATAAAATATAGTTGAGTTGATTAATTTAAAGAAATTAAAGAAGTGAAATAAATTTAAAAAAATTGTATTCACCAATTTTCTTCAAACTAATTAATCCAGCTTATAGACTGATATATAATCTAATAATACATAAAAATATTTCAGAGATATCATATAATAAAAGCTATAATTAAGTAATTTTTTAGCTTTTTTAATTTCTTCAAATTAGTCAACCACATATTATATTAAAAATTGAAGGTAGTATATGTTTTGAACAATGTTATCCACTTTTTAAATATATATATATATACACACACACTCTTTCAAAACCTGTAGCTACAATAATACATGAACGAATACATGTCAAATTATATATGCATGAAAAATTTCGGAGAACAATTAAACGACCCAGAATATGGCACTTAATTAATACAATAAACATCTCACTTTTGTACATCCTCGATTCCCAGCAAACACATGCGCACCTCTTACAGCCAACGACAAGATAACAATTTCCTCTTCATCATCATCTTCAAGAAACAGAAGAAAATCCAAAAGAGAAGCCCAACTAATAAAAATTAGAAAAAATCGATTAAATCTGTGAAAAAGTTTTTTTTAAAAAAAAGGTTCGTCGTGTCGAATCTGACGATTAAGAGTTAACCATGGCTTCTCTGTCTCTATATCGTTGGAACCATGTTGTTGAATTGATCACACCTTTGCCTTACTTCACCGCCCTTCCCTGTCTTCACTCCAAGCACCTCCAGTTTCTCCATGGCCTTTGCGAAATCCTGGAAGAACGCATTCTGATCTTTCGCGTATTGTTCAACAATCGGCTTCGTCCTCGGATCTCTTCCCAGAAGCGAATCTGAGCTCAGAAGCCCTAATCCATGCAGCACGTTCTGGTAATACGCGTTATCGAACTTGCCCGGCGATCTCATGTCGTTGAACGCCGACATTGATGGGTCTTTCGTGTAGTTCGCGCATAGTTTCTTCAATCCTTCCACCAGTTTCGGATTCATCGTCGGATCTACCTGGGATGTTTTGCTGAAACCGAAGATCCTGTGAGCGAACTCCTTGCAGTGGGTGAATCCGATGGTATGGCCGCCGGTGAGAGCCACCATTTCTCGGACCGTGAAGTTCTTCGACGTGAACTTCTCGATTATCTTGTCCATGGTGAAATCTGGCTTCGGTAAGGCCGCATCGACCTTCGAAGCGTTTGATGAGAGACTGTCTTTTCGTCCCAATGGCACAGTGTAATATGGCCCTCCGACCATCTTGATCAGATCGCGGGTCGATTGGGCCATGATGTCGGCGCAGGAGACGACCCCGGGACACGTGAGCTCGAGGGCGTTTTTGATCTTGAGGATGAGGTCGAAGGCTTCGGCGGAGAGGGAGAGGTTGAGATCGGCGTCACGCTCGGCTTTCATGTAGCCATTGGAGCTTATGAGGATGGAGGCGTCACAGCCGTCGGTGATGCAGTCGTGGAAGAAGAGGCGGAGAACGCCGGGGGCGGTGGACGGGGTGGTGGATTGCTTGCTGTACACGAGTTCTGCGACGGTTTGCTGGAATTTAGGGCATGTTTTCTTGTAGTAGTCGAGAGAAAGCTGGTTTTTGTGTGAAGCTGAGGAGGAGAATGGAATGGTCACGAGGAAGAAGTAGCAAAGGAAGAGAAGCGGGAAAGCCATGGAAGATATAGATATATATATGTATATATTAATGTTTCTGTGAAAGGAAGACACAGAAAACAGAGAATGAGGAGAAAGGGAGCGATATCATAAGAGGAAGAAGAAGGTGGTGGTGGTGAAAGATGAGAATGGAACACTTCTTGCTTCCTCTTTGGGCGTTGGTTTCAGAAGCCAGCGATGAGAAGAAAGAGAAAGGAGAGAGAGGGGAAGGGGAATTAGATCATCAGAAAATGCGTTTGTTTCGGAGGAAGAGGGGTTTGAGGATGATTTGTGAGTCTTTGCTAATTTTGGATGGTCAAATTAAACTCTCTTCACAAAATCTTTCGAAATGTAAAAGGTGCATGTTGTTCATTTTGGAATTTGGGATTTAAAGATAGTGGCACCCCCCAAGTCCAACATCCAACGTTAATTTAATAACTTTTCCATAAATTGCATGTTTGATGGATTTCTCTCTCTCCCCCCACCTGCATGGTCTAAACTCAAACAATACCTTACTCCAATTATATTCTTAATATTGTTGTGTATGATACACGCGTAGTATTGAAAACGGGACTGAATCGGCTGGGTTGGATCCGAAACAGACCAATCAAGCACCTAGCCGTTTCAGTTGGCAGCAAAAACTAGTGATGGGGTTGACATGGGGGCGACTCAATGTAACCCGGTCAACTTAACCGGCTTTGATAGGTTAACTCGATTATGTGTTTTTTTTCTTTTTTCTTTTTTTAAAAGTTGTTTTAATGCTAAAAATTATTATTTAGTGACTAAGGATTGTAGATATAAATATTTTGTTACCATAAATCTATTTTGATATTTTGCAAGAATGAATATTTAGTGATTTTAATAGTACAATACTATGATGTCAATTTGTCAAAAAAATTGTAGAGAAAATTAAAAAGAAAATGTAAGTATATGATTATTTTGTTAGAAATTCAATTGAAATTTAGTCTTTTGGATCATATCATATGATAGGAATCTAAATTAATTTTCAATTTCAATTTTTTAATTCCTCACCTGTTTAACCTCTAATTGACTACAGTATAACCCATTAACCCTTCATCCACTGTTTTGATTGGTTCAGAGACCAGCACCTTGGATACATGATTGTTATATATCCTAGATGTATAATTTTATCTAAAAAAATATATCTATTAATTATAAGAAACTTTACCAAAAAGTAATTTCAGTGCTCATGATTATAGTTAGTTTAACTAATTTTTTAAATATCTTTAAATTAATTTTATTTCTTATATTAAATGTCAGAGTACTTATCCTGTAATTATATTTACATCTTACATGCAGGATTTTTGCTTGAATACTTTTATGATGAAACAACCTATACATACATATATGATATATCTACACATCTAAATGATTAAATTCAGTCTAACAGTCTATGCTTGCAGTTGTTTCTCGTTAATTTTTCATACTCTCAGCTTAATAAAGCATAGCATAATAGAGGCCTTTATAACTTCATTATGTTATTTTTGATAGGAAATTAAAAAAAAAAAAACCTTTTAGTTACTTTGTCTCTCTCCCTCTCTTTTTTTTCTCAATAATAGGAAGCCGGAAGCCCCTTCAAATAGTTCTCAGCAGCAAGACAACGACCATGCTATGCATTTGTTATAAATAGATAATAAATTAAATTAAATTTTTATATTTATAAATTATTTATTATTTTTTATATTAAGGATAAGAGGTAGTTTAATCTAATTGAATAAATAAATGAAAAAAAAAAAATTCTTCTTGCAATAAAAATACCTGTGTTGCTTGATTTCGTTGATTTCTGTGTTGAGTTTCAGATTCAAACGGACAGTTTAGATACCACATCGGTACACCATCGGCGTCTATAGCGGCTCGCCTCGCCCTGTCCGAACCGACCCCACTACTGACGCTTGGCGGAAAAGCTTCATCACAGTCTATTCTCTTGCTTTCGGCGAGAGATCTTGACGGTGGCTTTGATTCTTTGCTTGAATTGCGGATTTGCCACCGGTCAATCTCATCCCATTTCCGGTGCAGATCCAAATCTGGCCCTGACTTAGCAAGATCTTGCGTTTCT